TTCCACAAATGTCCGAGAGCCGTAAACCATGCGAGGACATAACTTCAGTTTGCCGGTTTTTGCCCATTCAGGTGCCTGACTGAGAGCCTACAGTGCATTCATCTGACTCGTAAATGTCACTTTCCCCATTCCATACGTCTTTTAGGGCAATCCGATTAGTAGTGTTTGCGCATCTTGCAATTGAAACATTGTACGTGCTTGATATCCGGTTTTCGATTTCCTTGGAGACTTTTAGAATCGAGAAAACATATCAAATCGGTTCTTGAAGGTCGACATGATGACATTTTCAACTCGGGTCTGCTTATCGGTACTTGATTTACCATCACGGAGCATCGAGAGGTTTTATTCAAAGAGTGCGTCAGGTGTTGCGTAATGACCTACTCGGGTACCATTTTGAATCGTTACATCGGTGATCCCAGTAATGAGGCATTCCACTGCATGTCTGCCACATATTTGGCTCGTTCGCAGCAATTCCATTTTGCAGACGTAATGTGTGGTCATCGTCTCCTCTGACTGTTTCACCATATCTGAAATTTTTCGTAACACCATCATGTACTCAACATGATCTGGAAAGGTTTTGACGATCAAGACTTTCCATTCGGGCCACGAACCAGGATAGCTCGTTAAGCTATGATACCAAGTCCTCGCCATCCCCATCAATCCTGATTGCATATGATAAATAGTTGTGATGTCATCCCAGTTATTCACATTTTTCAGCTGAAATATTTCATCAAACCACTTCAATGTTAGTTTGTTTTCATTCTCCGGGTTGATTTCAGGAATGCAGTCACTCCGAAAAAAAAGACGTCTACTTTATGGCTGTCCTGACCTAACCTGTCCTGCACGTTTCGCTGTTGCGTTCCACTCAACGGTGCTGCTCCTAAAGTGGCGCATGGAGTTAGTAACAAAGCCTAGACAGAACACGCAGAAAGAGATGATTATATGGTCGTGAGCATCAGAGAAGAAGTATAGGACGGTGTATGTAGGTGGGTGTGAAAAACTAACAGCTGAGCGTGAGAGCGGGCCAATGCTGCTTAGTGGACCTCGGTCTCTAACGAAGGTTAACGAGAATAGCTAGCAGGCCACTGCAGCATATGGTAGTGAGAACATTACTACCCTACAAAACACAGCCGGAAAATCTCTGAGAGAGAGCTGATGGGCGGTGCCTGAAAAGGATGTTTGCCAGCTCTCTTGAGCGAACCACATCACTCATTAATAACACCTTGGGGCTTGGAAAAAGGCCCCCATTAGGGACTAGTTGCTGACGTGCAAACGTCCCCCAGCAGTACCAGAAGTATTTCTGGCTGTGAAAAAAATAACGATGCTATCCACTATCGATTTCACTGAACCTGTTGAGGCTTGATCGATAATACGTGGACTATTATGATTATCAACTTCTGCTGGTACATGCAAGATAATTTCTGGTGGACTTACAGAACGTCGCCTTGTAGTGGAAATGTCACTGTGTCTTTTCTGTTTTGATCCACCCTCGTCTGCAGGCATATTTTGTATTTTCTTTTTTGAGACAAGATCGTTTCTCTTCCTAGATGATTTTCTATTTGATGATACCTTGTACCTACCGTCACGAGAGCTATCAGAAAAATCACTCGAATCATTCGAATCACTCGAATTACTTGTAGAACTTTTGGGTTTTCTAGGCATTTTCGTATAAGGTACACGTAACAGTCGAAAATTTCAAAGTCGACCACGAATGTTCACTCCAACACCAAAAGGATATAACAATATACAATTTTGAATTCAATGTTACAGTCTTGTTCGCTTTGTTTATTTTGTTCATATTGTTCATTTTGTATTTCAACTATGACGTCATTTTCTTCAATTGTATTCGATGTAATTATATGTAATGTGTACTCATGTGTTATTACTGAAATTGTGATTCTCGAAAATAAAACTATGATATCCTATTCTATTCATCGCTCAATCACACCCATGATATCACTGTCCTAGTCATATTCATGGTTACGACGGCTCTTAAACAACTTTTTTCATGCATTCAATTGCAACTGTAAATTAAGGCTGAATTACAGTTGCAACTATAAATTAAAGAGAAGATTTTTGTTCTACACATCTCCTAATTCATAGTTGCAACTGTATGGGAAAAAAGTTCTATCATCCTAATTTACAGTTGGAATTTTGTCAGATACCCCTAAATACGTTGAACCTGCCTCAAACAGATCAGTCATTAGAAAGGAATTTCACTAGGTATCAAGTTTCTAGAAACAATTTCTGATGAAGTAGACTTCCGGATGACCTCTGTAGGTCGATTTCAATGTTTTCAGAAAATATCGAATGAACCATACCACTCCCTGGAATTCGAACCTACGTCCAAAAATATAGGTAGTGTGGGCCGAATCGTTCAATTGTATAATAAGAACAAGTATTCTAAGCAACTTCCTTTTTTTACGAGAAGCGTTCCTTTACATACCCAGAGTTTGTTCACTTATCAATAAACTAGAATGAACTTCCGCCTAAAAAGTAATGTTTTGGGCAAGGATGTACCAATAGACTTTTGAACAACATGAAAAATAGTCATCAGAATGAAAAAAATATACGAACTTGGTATTGTTGAATGATTGCACTCTCTTGTTCCATAAGTTTTATGTGTCCTCAAGCTCTGGAAAACATTGGACGTCAGATCTTCATGACAAGCTTTCCTCATCAACTACATTTCATCAAAAACAACACGGTTGTAACAAGTAACTGCCTAAATTTATTCAAGATTATATAAAAGGTCCACTCCTATTTGATGCAACTTTTAACGGGAAAAACGTTGAATATTTCTGTAAGGCTTTTTTAGTAGTTCAATATAGGGTAATTCCTGATTCCTGGAACGTGACACACCACAAATTTATTTTCTCAAATGGAACGTCCAGTTTTTCAAATTTTCTCGAAATATACAGATTTTTTGTACTCAAAGAATAATAAATGAGGTGGAAAATCACATGGATATATAAATGTCAGGTGTGTGCCTGTTCAACGAATAACCCTATAGACATATACAGATATATATACAGATACAGATCCACCTTAATTTATTCAATATGTCGGTATTATGCAATTTACTATCATTATAGGGGTTCCAATTTGGAAAAGGGAGAAGAGTTGTCAGTTGTTTCATCATTTTATCACCTACTTTTCATGTTCCTATCCTCTTTCAAGAATTTGGGTTTTTTCTCTCAAGGACAGGTATCAGTAGTAGACCTGAGTCAATGTAGGTGGAAAGTTCATTACGGATTGGTATTGATTCTCGTTCCTGAACATACTAGTTTCACTTTGCTCATCTCTACTCTTTATAATTTGAATTGAAGTTTACGAATACACACAATATTTGGACATCATCACGTAGTAAATTATTTTAATCAGCCTTGTGGTAACCTTTCGAATCTTACAATTATTGGATAAAAATTAAAAAAAAAAAAATAGAACACAACTCAGCAGATCATGAACAGATCGGAATCGCAAGCTGGAATGAAATTTTTTCTGTGACGGGAAAACAGTTTGGCATTTCATCTTTGTTGACAGGTTATAAAATTCAACTTTTCATGAATTACTTTTTTCCCGTGGGAAAAAAGTGAGTACTTTTTTCTCGGATATATATCACATATATATACACTGTTGATGGCATTTGTTGGGCTATAGTTCTGAAAAATAAGTCAATAATACCGTCTCCGAGAAAAAACTGCAAGACCTTTTATCTTCCAATCGACTTTGCGATTACGTAAATTACAAAACAACCACTAAATTCGAAATTTTTCGAATTCAAATCACAGAATAAGAGTGACAGAAGTGACATCAGATATTTGATTACTTCAAAAGAATGATAAAGATGCGTAAAGATGCCTACAACGCAGGTGTTCCTCCTGTTAAAAACTTCAAATTTCACGTCGGTAATTTTCAGATTTCATAATAATGTAACATCATCTCAATATTGATTCGTCCTTTCTTCTGTCACAGAAAAAAATAGTGAATTATACACGGGCAAAATATTAGATTTCAGCTCACGGTTTTTTGTACAACATAACCTGGAGCTAAAATCTACTACTTTTTTCCCTTGTTCAATGAATAACTATCAATATTTTGGCATTATGGCGCGCTTGATGTGGGCTCGCCTGTGACGTCAGGATAATCTGTGTGTTCTCGAATTCAAGTAGTTCTTCGAATTTCATTCTAATTCTGAAGCTGCCATTGGTTATTTGAATACATTCCTACATATCGATTAGTTCTGATATTTCTCTAGAATTGAACGAAAAAAATATGTTATAATCTTATTTCAACTTTCAAGTTCTCAGATTTTCCACCTCTGATGGTATACTACACTTTGATCATGAATTACTTCCGTTAACATAATATTCTTGAGTCTTCAGAACTCATATTATGCTGATGAATAGAATTGAATGCTTCAACAGTTATTCCAATCCGTTCAATGCATACATATTATGCTAATAAAATCGTGGCATTTCTTATCGGAATATCGAAATCTAGGTGAACTGAACGAATCAATTTTAACTACGTGAAAATATATCACTTCTTAGAACAAACAAGCTGGACAAGTTACAAAGAAATCAAAATGAGAAAATACTGTATGTTGAGGACTTTTGATACTTTTGTTCCAAAGTTCAACACCTCATCAACAGAGAACAAAACATTTCCGAACCTATGTTCGTATCTTCATTATCTTGATGAATACTAAGATTCATCGTTATTTGACATCACATTATATACAGAGTTCAAATGATGATTTGAAAAATCTGGAATATCCATCAATGACATAGTTCACAAATTGAAGTGATAATCAAGGGAGCTACCGAATAATCAATGAACCATATAAGATAGAAAACAAGACAATGACGAGAAATATTCATGTCAAATAGTTTATTTTTCATTGAAAAACAATAATTTCGGTAATGGAACAACTCTGATGTTTTGTAAAATCTCCATTCTAGTTTGTGTTCGGTCATCGATCTTAGATTGGCCTTCACTTGGTTTCAACGTATCTATCTTTGAAGTAGCGGTTTTCATTCTGGTTTGAATTTGGTTATCGGTCTTAGATTGGCCTTCACTTGGTTTCAACGTATCTATCTTTGAAGTAGCGGTTTTTATTCTGGTTTGAGTTTGGTTATCGGTCTTAGGTTGGCATTCACTTGGTTTCATTGTGTCTCTCTTTCCTTGTAGCGGTTTCCTCAGTACAGAACCAGTCTTTGCTTCGGCTGCAACATCTGCTTGTTTCTCGACTGTTTTCATTTCAGAGCATCTGGTGTTTCTTATAGGATCATTTTTCTTGGAACCTTCCTGCTTTCCTTTACTTTTTTTGGTAGAATCGAAATATCGCACACAAACCCTCTGTTTTGTATACGAGGAAATATCTTTGAGATATTTAGGCAGATGGTTATGCCCAACATTCCTCAGTTCCACGATCCTTTCATTATCGAATGTGAAAAGTCTCGCCGAACACTTCGTTTTTCTATTCAAACAACACCAGAGCCTTCTGTTGGAATCTTCCTCATACTTTCTGGTATGTTCACATCTGAATTCATATCTATCCATGATCAACCTCTTTTTCTTGCCTTCCAGCAGCTTGTATATAATATGTTCTGGAAAATATCGGTATTAGTCTCATCATGATTACTAGAGGTCTCACAGGATCAGAAAGATACTGTTCACAATATTATTTTTCTTTTCTCATTTAACGCATCCGCTATGCTTGATGGAAATTCGTAATTCGCAGTGTTTACTAACGTATAACAGTAGGTAACGCATTCAGACGATATCGATTATATATTGTTATCAATAAATAGTAGATTGTTTTATTAGGATCAAAAGTGAAACTTTGTTTGACAAGCGAATTTTGCATTTGCGAGGCAGAGCGTTTAGCGAAGCCGAGCGAAAGCAAGATTTGCGAGTCCAACAAAGTCACTTTTGATCCGAATAAAACATGCTATTTTTTCTGCAACCGAAATAATTAACTCAAATAAACATGTGAAGTAACCATCATCAATGCCGTGCCATATGAGAATATTCTACCTGCATTAACAGCAGGTTAGGTTTTCTAGGATGTTCGAATTGTAGTTTCAATATAGATACAACCACAGAGTGACATATTTGTGTATGGACCAGGTGCTCTATAATGGCAAATACCGCGCCAGTGTCAGCTAAAGGAACAAGACGTGGAAAATGTTAGGTTAGTGAGCATATCAACAATGATAATAGTGAAGAAAAACAATGAAAATCCCAAAGTCTGTCGACCACAAAATCATTTAATAATGATAATAGTGATTATTTATTCCTCTCCATACTACACTGTGTTTGACTTGATAATCAAATCAAGCTGAACAATATCGTTGTTTGAGACAAAAAAACTATTGCTTGCCATGATTATTCAAAAAAACAAGTTATCCATCCCGAGAATAAAGAATGAAATACAGGTCAAGCAAGTATTTGAATCTTGAAGGCTTCCCTGATCAAAACAAAAATACTTAACTGAGATGTTTATAATTCCAATACTGAACTATAATGAGGAGTATTTATATCTCCAGCATGGGTATGAAATGCCAAATCTGCTGAAATCGGAAACAAATCAGGTATGCGTCTCAACCCAAATAACCAATCATCACAATGTTGTTTATTCTTCATGACGTCCAGTAGATCCTTTTCAGTTCCTAGGAGCTTAAGTTCAATTTTAGCTCCTAGGAACTAAAATTCAACTCTAGCTCCTAGGAACTGAATATATTGCCTAGCAACATACCTATTTTTGTGTCAGTGATAGAAACGTCAATTTAAGAACTAATTTTGGTATCAAAATGGACGACTTTTGTGTCGGTTGCAGAAAAACATATGTTTTTTGAGAAATATACAGCTCATTGATCATTAAGATCTTTCAGTACCTACACTGATAAGGGTAAAAACATGACTGAGATCTCCCATTGAGGAATCAGGACTAACGGGATTATGCCTTCTGAATGTCCACAGAACAACTGTAGAGGATGGAAAAATCAAAATTACTGAAAGAGCAATCAATATCTTCGGCAAAAATGATAGAAGAATACTGCAATTTGTATGTTCAGTTCTTTTGTTACTATGTGATATGGTTTCTATGTGATATGGTTTCTATGTTACCTTTTTCTAATCCGAAGGTAATTTTCATTTGATATTTTGTTACATACAGGATTTCTATGAATGATCGTAATACTACGATGTTGAAATTGTGCTGCTTTCTGCTGATGTTATTGACAGGCATTGAAGTGAGCGAATATGTTATATAGTACGATAAAAGTGGCGACGCTGCACGGAAAAAAAGTTTTGTTGCACCAACAAAATAGTTTTGGTCATTTTTTTTTGTTAAATTAAACACAATTTTGTGGAATCAACAAAATATAAGTCCATTCCAAATAAGCGACTTATTCATGAGGACAAAATAATTTGAATGACATATTCGCTTACTTGAACAAAAGTTTCATTTCATTCAACAACATTTATAGTTTACATAAAACAAATTTCGTTGATTCAACTATTATCTCATGGTTCAATCAATCATATGCATCTTGCCTGTTTGACAAAATTGAATTAATTATGACAAAGGATCAACAAAGTAGAACATCATATTGCGATGATTCAACAATCAACACATAGATACATAATATCAGAGAAATATATTGTTGAATGATTATCTACTTGCATTTTCGCCACCAGGTGGCGTTTGTTTCCACCTTCTTACGCTCGCCTCGATGTACATTTTCCTATAGCACATCCGTTTTTTATATGATTATAATTTGTAATGACGCTTATAATATAGGCTAATAGTCTTGAATCAACTGAGGAAATTGATCTCTAATTCCTCTTAGTTTTGAAATTCAGTTATTGGATTTTTTTAAATATTATTTTACCAAATATTTTGTCAATTTTGAATGCAATTTTGTTGAACGAATGAATTGTTTCATTGAATGAAAAAACTATTTTGTTATACACAGAATATAAATATATTGTTATTTCAACATATTTACTCTCCGACAAACTGAAAATTTTGTCACTTGAATGAAATGATATGATTATTCCAATCAACAGAATCTTTTTATTAGAGCAGATATTGTATTATAGAAACAAAATAGCTTTTGTTTAATCAACCAATTCCTGCTGTAAATTTGAATCATTAGTGAGTTACATCAGATGAATTTAAAATTGGAAACTGAGACAAAAAACTTGTTGCGGTGACAAAATAGTTGGTCGTGGATATATGACACTTTTGTTGGATTTACATTGTAGTTTCAAACATTTTTTTTCTGTGATGTTAACTGTGCGTCAATGTTAACACTTTTCTTCACCAGTCGCGCAAGTTAAGCGAGTGGCAAGATAATGTCACTACGATGACAAAGCTACTTTACCTATTAGAAAATGTTTGGGTCTAATCTTTCAATTTTGACACCAAATATTCGTAGTACCTTAGGTACTTACCTAATTTTGATCCATCAATGAGTGAAATTTGAACAAAAGAAACAAGGTTCCTTACAATAATTTAGTTAAATAATCTGCGAATACTACACCACTGGTCAAGTTAAAAGAAACATATAACCTCACTTACTGTCAAACTACAAATTTTTGGTTCGAATGGTGAACTTTTTGACAATCCACACACTGGCAAACCACAATAGACTTATAATAATAATTGTCTTTATATAGTTTAATAACAAGAAAACACTGAAACTCAATTGAAACACAAAAAGACCCAAAACGGTAACAAACACCAGCACAACAACACTGTAACGTTGGATTTGGACATATATGAATGACTTTAAGAGAAATTTACTCGTAGTAAACATGCCAATAGAGCGTTGCCACATTCATTTTCATAATACAACATGATTTTATGTAATGATGAAATTAAGGAAATTTAAATTTTCAAAAGTAGAATTCACATATTTCAATTAAGGAACAACCATACAGAATAAATATACAGGGTGTTGCGATATTCAACCACAACGCTTGACAGGTGATGGCCCTCGTGATTTCATAATCACTGAGATAGGGACATACGGTCTTCAAGTGTTCAGTTCTCGAGATACAGGGCGTTGAAGTTGAGGAATTAAAATAGTTTTTTTCGCAATATCTCAATAAAAATGGGATATAATGCATTCAAATTCGGTATATGGTTTCATCTTCCGATGGTTCATTTTTTGACCAGGAAGACATTCCGAGAATTTTATCCAGAGGTGCGCTACAGGGGGTTGTGATTTCCTTCCATATTTTCTACGCCACTGATGAAATTTCGATTATTCCGAATTCCTCGAATTGATTGTTCAATTATGTTGAAAAAATGCATGACCTTCAACTGAGCTAAAATGAACAGTTATCGAGATATTTGACCCGAAATAAGTTTGCATACTAATCATGTAATCAATGTTCAGCTATAGAATGAGATCTGAATAGTATCTAATCTACTCAACACCAAGAAAATATTTTTGCAATTTTTTACTACTGAAAATGATGAAATATCACTATGCAATCTTCCAAACTGTGCGTCAATTGAAACGTTAATAGTGAAATTCGGCATCAAGTTTGACTTCTCGTAATTTCTGAAATATTTAACAAATTTTGAATTGCCGCCCAGATTCTGAATGCCTTTTTCATCGTTTTTCGAACCGTTCCTTACAGCTTCTTCTGAATTCATCAGGACCCGTGATACAGGGAGAAACAAAGTTTCGTGCATTTTGAAAAAAATTTCTCCGCCCCCCCATTTTGTCGGAAGACCACAATGCTCATATTTAATTCAGGCATTTCATAAATAGCAACCATACTTCGTGACGTTTTCGAGTTTTTGCCAAAAACTACCGTGGTTTACAAAAAAAAATTATTTCTGCATTTTTTTTTTAAATGGACTAATTTTAGAGGAGTACATTAATATCCTAATCGTCGTAACCTGAAATTATAATTATCTATACTGAACTATAGTGATCTCACCTAATAAAATTTTCCACTTCGACCCGATTTGAACGAGGCATCTTTCAATTTTTTAGGACTCGAATAATACTGACGTTTTCATGAAAATTGGCAATTGATATAACCTCTATGCATACCTACATTGTTTCAACAATACGTTGTTATAGAAACAAGGTATCGTTGTTTGTTTTTGTTGATGAGATGTGTTGATTTACTGCTCACTGAGGTAGAAAACTTTTATCATAGACTGCGAAGTGATGAATTATTGATTGTTTATGAGTAACCTGGTATACATGTCTGCTCCAACGCTTTCCTGAAATGCATAAGAGCATCCATTTATGGAACTCCTCTAAAATTAGTCCATTCAGAAAAAATGCGAAAAAAATTTTTTTTTTGAAACCACAGTAGTTTTTGGCAAAAACTCGAAAATGTCCCGAGGTATGGTTGCTATTCATGAAATGCCCGAATAAAATATGAGCATCGTGGTCCTCCGACAAAATGGGGGGGCGGAGAAATATTTTTCAAAATGCACGAAACTTTGTTTCACCCTGTATCACAGGTCCTGATCAAATTAGAAGAAGCTGTAAGGAACGGTTCGAAAGACGATGAAAAAGGCATTCAGAATCTGGATGGCAATTCAAAATTCGCTCAATATTTTAGAAAT